AAGGCTTAACAAACTGCAGGTACGATTTCAGATTATACACTTCTTGTTTTCTACCTTAAAATTAAGGTAATTTTTACTGTCAGACTGCCATAAAATTAAACTACCTGGCAGAACTGGCAGCACAGAAAGCACATGGGACAAGTATACTAGGTAAGCATATCATACAATTTCAAACTACCTATTCTATTCCAGTCTTTACCAACTGAGCACTTCAAGGTTGTTTACCAAAAGGAGTTGGCTCAAGGGAACTACTTTAAAGAGCATTTACTCCTTCAAGGCCATTTTTTAGGTTATTGTCTAAAAAGCCACACTGTAACCAGTGCAAACAAGTAATAAGCATGAGAAAGTTTAAAAATTCAGGGTGATCCATTTCCTACATGTCCAAGAAAACAAAACCCCTTTAGGTTTAAGCTAAATATCCTTGGTTTAATAACATTTCTTTTTTATCAAGAATAGGTATCAATAAAAGTAATATTTCAGATTCTAAGTAACATTACCAGTTAGATTGTAAGTTATGTTGTATCATTTTTATTTCAAATGTTTTTAAATTCTATGCGTATTTCCCACCTTGATATTGGTGCTACTAATAGTTTTTCACCATTCCTTTCCTTGTTTGTCAAGATATTGTCAAAAGCCTTATGTTACAAAATCTTAGTTTAAAAGTAAGTAAATAAATGAAAAATACCTATATTTCTCTCTCTGAAATGCTTAAAGTAATAGATGATATAGAGCATTTTTATTTTACGTCATTATTAAGGCCAAAGACAGAACAAGGTCTCATCCTACCAAACCATTAGAGAAATAAACTGTTTCAATGCATCCAGAAAACCCCTGAGCATAGAGAAATTAAAGTACTGTGTAAATGAACTAACAAGTAGGAAAATGAAGTCTTACAGATAAATTTGATATTAGTGAAACAGACGTAAATGTCAACCCACATGGTAACACCATCAGTCAATGGTCATGATTGCAAAAAATGTTCCAGTGCAAATCACTTTCTAGCTTCTACATATATAAAAAAAGTTGTTTTGCAGGGAGAGAGACTTGGTCTCTGGAGGCCTAATTAAGAGTTGTTTTGCTGTTGAAAAGTCATGAAAAATAGTGCTAGAGGTTCATGTAGGAACTAATCTCCATTTAAATCAATAGATTTGAGTTTAAGCCAATTTCAATTGAAGAAGAAAGCAAGAAAATGTTAGTTAGCAAGTTGAAAAGCAATATACTACAGTGGCATAAACGAGTAAATGTGCCATGAAGGATGCCAAGGACCAAAAATGCTATTTAAGGCCCCCCAAACTGGATATTATATCTATTCTAGGCAAGAAAGCAGCTGCCATTGCTTGTCTAAATCTAGACAAACACATGTATCTTCCAAACTACGCAGAGAACATGGAAGTAAGTTCACTGAAGAACTGGCACAGCTCTTGCATTCTGCAGGTTTTCCCTAAAGTACAGGGAAAACAGGGCAAGGAGCAAGAGAATAGAAAAATAACATTTAAAGGAAAGTAACAATTACAGTTTTCTACAGGGACAGGATGAAAAATGAAGCCAAAGGAAAATGAAGGGATGTACAGTATGAGTAGTTTTATAGTGGTAAGTTCAACTATTGTTTTCAGGAAATACGTGACAGTCTTTACACTGAAGTTAACTATCATCCAGTGGGTAACAACAGTGACTGCTTCATTCTCAAGGTGAGATGGGAAGATTCTTGTAGTATTCTAGATACCTTATAACAACTTCTATTAGCCTTGTTTAGCAATAGAGGAAGTAGACTCAAAATCATAAGCCTTTTTGTTATTTTGTAGGGGGTTAGATCTACCTTAAAGAATTTTAGTCAAATACAGAGGTTTATTTTGGATTTGGTTTCAAATCCTCATATTAGAGAGGGTAAGATCAAAGTCTCCAAATATTTTTCCATGTACATTTCTGGTTTTAGAATATATATATAATATATAATATATAAAATAATAGATATGTATTATTACCATCACTGCAAACAAAAATACTTGAGGTTCTTTTCCATACTATTTCCAATGTAAACCAAAAAATAAATTATTTCCACTATTTAACACAGGCACACACTATGAATGTTTGGGGCTTTAAGTGCCATTTATGTTCAGACAATAGTGTACTACTTGGGGCAGAATCTTAGAGAAGCACTAGCTGTGTCCCTACTATAGCTTCTGCTTCTGTGTAGAAGAACCTGTAATCTTTGCGATTTCCTGAAGCCCTGCGACATCTTCTAACCCGTAACATCCAGTCACAGTATTAAAATCTCTGTCTAAAACAGCAGTTGGGTTAAATAAACTACAGCTACATTAGGACTGTTGCTCCCTACCTACTTTGAAAGCAGAGGCTTCAAACATAGAACAAGTTTCAAAACAACTGGTATTTTTTTACAATTGCTATTAAACAAACTATCCTTCCAGAGTGTTCATTCACTACAGCATGATGTTTATCATTTTCATTTTCAACCAAGCACATGGAGTTTTCCCCTTTCTAGGTTAAGTCTTCCATGCTAGATGGGCACATGAAGCCCCAGAGATTAGCTGCAAAGCCGCATGGAAAACTGAAACACAGACCAGAGGAAAGAGTGTTCTTAATGGTTTGTGTTACAAGGAAATCAATTAACTGAAATGACAAAACTTTCCTATCCACACCTAAGTTTGAATACATCGATTGCCTACAGTGGAATATAAGCAATTGGGAAGGAAAATAAAAGTCTTCAGTGAAAATTAAACATCCAGAAACATGAAAAATAAGAACATTTGCCGGATTTTTGCAGTGGTTTCTTACAGATAACTGTAAGAAAGACAAAGAACCATCCAGTGTGAAAAGCGAGAAAGATGAGAGGAAGGCAGTATCAGCGTTTGGTGTTCAATGTGTCACAACTTCTCTCGAGAGAAATCTGCTTGCATGTATTGAGGACAAAATGATACTATGACACAGGTATATTTAAATATTATTCCAGATCTTCAAAGAGAAAAATCTAAGATACATTTGAGAACACAGATTTGCACTCCTCGTATCTTCCTTATCAGAAGGGTGATTTGTTTTCCTTCAAGGTGAGCAAAGCACTGAGAAAGCAGCATGTTGCTTTGGTGTCTTTTTCCCTCCAGAAAAATAAAGAACAAGATATTTATAGAAGAGCATAGGCAAGCACAGAGGCACCTGGAGTGCCTTCTCTAGGTACTGTGAAAGAAGATTTCCACTCCTCCCTCAACCCACAGGCTTTTCTTCCTCATCTTCAGCACTCACTCAAAGCTGAAAGTTGAAGAACTACTTTATTACTTTATTTGCTTAACTACATAGCACGCTGTAACATGCATTTTAATTACACCAGACTGCAAGCATTCTGAATTCCTACATTTTCTCCTCCATCATTTTTACAAGCTTTCAATCTTTTACATATAGCAAACTATAACACAGTTACAGAAACATTTGCAGTACTCGAGGATGCATAATACGAATTAACCAACCAACCTGCATTGACACATTGGATTTAACATGCCACACTGAATTACTGATAACTTTTCTAACCTTGACAAGTCAATGTGGGGCAGAAACATCTGCAGTTCAGCTGGCGTATTCTTTAAACACCAGCTTCTTATTGTAGCATCACTAGTTTGAATGGAACCACATACATCAGACCTTGCATATTTTAGTGCCCAGCTACACACTTCATAAATATTTATTTCATTAACTCTTATTTACTCTTGGGAAGCATGGCTGCATTTTATGGGGGAAAAAAAAACCAAACAAACAGTTTTACTAGTATACCATATACTGATTTTTTCTGTTCTGAAGCTGCTTTAATTCCTTTTAAGAAAACCCATAAACACAATATTTGAATGCTCTTCTAATACCAAGGAAGAAAACATGTACCAGTACAGACATGCTTATATCAAATGCCACAATCATCTTGTTAATGTTCTCCTTTTATTTATATTTTAAAATATACTGTTATGCAAGAAAGGCAATATCCATCCAACAATCCCCTTTAACTTAATAATACAAAACATTTAACAATAAAAGTTGAAGGCAATATTAAGCTAAGAACATCTCTAATTTTCAGGTGTTTCATTGTCAGAAAACCAAGATGGTTATCTGCTGCATGCTTTCAGCCCTTCTTCCCCAAGAAACTGCTATACAACACTTGTCACACCACATTACAGAATTGCGATTTTTACTATCAAGTAAGGATTATTTTGCAAAGAAACTAAGGAATGTCAATGTGGTAAAGAGCACTGAACATAAATAGCTTCAGCATTTTGAATAAAACTTAAGAAAAACATTCAACTTTTAAAATGACTATATGGGACTATAACTTGCTGATTAATGAGTCCAACTATTGCACATTCTTGTAGTAATAGTGTTAGCAAGCAATGCAACAGTTGTATTTTACAGCTTATGAACAATAAGAAAAGGTATTGCTAACTCCTGCTAATTCTATGCTTCAATGTGCCTCCTATCTCTATGATTTGCCCTTGCCTACCTCATTAAGCCCCTGCTCGTCACTGAGAAGCTATGAAATATAAGTCATTTATAGATTAATTCCTAACAATTAATAGCTGAAATAAGCATGGGGCTATCTTTAGTAAATTCACTGTTACAAGTTTAGGAGAACAGAGAATAGAGATGAAAGACAACCCAGCTGTGTGAGGCAAGGCTTGCCACCTGACAAACTTGCAGAACAGCTATTAAAATACTAGTCCAAGTTGTAAATCAGAGTAACATGAACTACAGCTTACCGTATTTTTAAAATTTATTTCTATTACAATTAAGAACCACAATGATTTTACTTTCTTGTCTTATAATGCATCTTACAGACGGAAAAACAAAGCTACTACCTTTTGTACTAACTCTTCACAAAAGCACTTACGCTCCAAACTTCAGCATTGTGATTAAGTACTGTAGATGTAAGATGATGACAGATCATTTTATTTCCCTGCCAAGTGTTCTGTAGACGAGAAAATGAAAGACTTGTTCCTAAGATTACTTACCCATGAAGTTCAGATAGCTCTCTCCTCCAAGTGCATGAGTAATGAGACGAATCATTTTATGAAGCTGTATTCCACGATCAATAACTGCAGTAAGGGGTGAGAGCACACTCATGTTTGTATACATCTCTGCATCCATCAGTCGAAACGCCAATGTCTTATCACCAACGAGTGCCTGTAACAGTTTAAAGAGAAAGAAAACCCTTAGGTATACTGGAAGTGTTTCTAACAGGCACACTGTATCATAAGGGGAGGACTCAGAAGACTAGTGAGAAGTCGATTACTGCAACTTGGTATTGTGTGATGTGTAATTACATGGGTTGATAACCTGCTGCCAAAAAGAGCAAGTATGTGAACCGAGGCAGGTACATCTCTGAGCTAAGCCTCACCTGCATGCCAGACCCAACCAGCTGTTTCCCCTTTGCAACCCTTTGCATGGTTACTGGGGCTGCCTGCACCGACAGGAGTGTGAGTATATGATCAATAAGCTAGTAACACCATAACCTCTGTTGTGATCCTACATGTCACCTGATGGGATCAAACTGCACAATTACTTCTGAGAACCTGTTCGTCTACAGATATCAAATGTGAAATGTTAGCGTCAACTCAAATCAGCCAGAAGTCACCAACCATTGTGGATTTTTTTATAGAAAACACAGGAAATGAGGAAACAAACATTTTAAGGAACATTCCTGGGATTACTAACAACACTCCTGATTTAGAGATGGAGAGTGAATATGAAGCATTCATTAGCATGCAATCAAGAATGTGAGTGGTTTTCTTTAACTTCACACAAGAGAAAAAACAAACTAGTAACTCCGTCTAAAATCAATGCCTGAATTGATAACTAGCTAGTGCTTACCATTACTTGAGAAAAGCCACACAAATGCTATGTAGAAAGGATTATTTCAAATATATTAGCATGCAGGCAGTTAAAAACATTTTGGAGTGTTTGTATTTAAATAGCTAACTTTTGTTTCATTAGCCCAATTCTCATTTTATTCTCAAGCATGAAAACTCACTAGATTCCAGAGAGACAGATGAGTTGTAAAGAGGTCTAGCTGAAAAGCACCATCATCTTTTAGTTTTCTGACTAACAACGTAACAGCATATATAGACGATTCCCACCAGTAAAAAAAAAAATAATCTTAAATAATAATATTCCTACGTGAGAACGGCAAGACTTAAGACTGCAAGGAACAACCTTTCTCTGGACTCAGGAATGTGCCATTTGTTAGCCCTTAATCTTTCCACTAGAAGAGAAGGTAAATGTCCCTATTCACGTTTTGTATGCCAGCCATGACTTCATAAACCACCATCCTTCCCCCTTCAAAGATCTCTTTGCAACCCTGAAGAGTCTTGGCCTACTTAGTTTTCTTCTTATGAAAACCAAGCCACACTTGCGATTATCCTCACCAACTCTCTCGCAGCATTTTTTCCAGTTATGCTGTATATCCTTTAAGATACAGGACCAAATCTGCCTCCAACATTCAAGATGCACACAGGCCATGAAAGACTACCTTAGCATACTGATATTTGCTTTGCTCTCCACTCCATTCATAATAATTCCAGTACTGTATCTGGGTTTTTTTTGACAGCTATTAGCATTGAGCTGCTATTTTCACACACTTCCCATAACCATGAGGCCTTGTATTCCGACTGGTATTAACTCCTAGCCAGGAAGCTAGAATTGTTTCAGCCCCTCACATGCATTACTTTAAGTATCTTCAGGCTGAATTTTACCTCACTCCCATTTTTTTTTCTCTGCCCTACTTTTCACATATCAATCTGGTGTACTTTGTTTAATTCAAAATAAATAGAATTTCTTCCCATGTACAAGATTCTAAACAAAAATACACAGTGATATGGAAAACAACTCAACTGATAACATCCAGCGTGAAATAAAAGAACAGCAACAGTAACGTTGTATGTCATGCTTTAGGATGAAGAATGAGCTTTTGTAAAAGCAAATAATCATGGGACAAAATTCATTTCCAGTACTACCTGAAATCCTTTACCAGGATTGGGACTTTTCTCATACATCTTAAGTGAACACTGTGTAACAATCTCTGAGATAAGAATCTTAATAGGTAGATAAAATGAAGCCAATAAACTCAGAATTCTCTCTTTAAAATAAAGGCCTTTTGGAAATTTCTGTTGACTTTTATTATAGAAGGTATAGAAAATAGGATACAAATCTCTTATGTAGAGGAAAGAGCTGAAGGTAGGTTATTTAAACTTTTTATTAGAAAATGGTTTTTGTTTTTTTTTTTAGATCCTAATTTTCAAATTCTCAACCAATGTGATGTCTGATTCTCCAGAAACAACCATGAGTGTCACCCAAACTCATCTTTGTTTTTTCATTGTCGCACATATAGAACCGTTACAATTACGGTTGAACCAAACTGTTAGAGAATATTTCATTTAGATCTGAAAAGATGTCTGCAATCCTTTCAGAGAGGGTTTTCTTGACGGGGAAGACAACAGTCACAAACACGGATTCAGTGACATTTTTTGTGCTTATTATACAAACAGTGGTCCAGCTTACTTTATTTTCAGAAGTATGGATTATATGCCTTCCTATGTCCTATGATAGGCAGGCAAAACAAGAAGTTAGGACTTGTTTTTAACAACAAAACTAAAACCACCACCACCAAGTAGAATTCTTTTATTAAAAATAAGGATCATAACAAACACACACAAAAGAAACCAGCGAAAACCAAGTACTCAAGATGTATTCTGAAATTGTTGCCAATCCTCCTCAACTCTAGCCTCATTTTCAAAACACAAAACCCACCAAACCTCTAAACCTCTATTTTACTTGATATATATAAATAAACAAATAGATAAAATACCTGGTCGTGACTCTCTGCATATGCAATGTATTTTTCTTCATACCGTCTGTTTGTTAATGTATGCACAATATTGCCCATATTCCAGTCTTCATCTTTCAGCTCCTTAATTATCTGTAGAAATAAAGGAAAGGTCATCAAAAAGTGCCCTGGGTTCAGGACTGTTTTAACTAAAACCACATTATTTATTGTCTTGGCACAGAAATTTCCAGGGGATTGTAAACTGTAATACTTTAACTTCTCCTATTCCCAAGTTTTAAAGTGACAAACTTTCTCTGATCATCTAAAGAGATTTTTTTCTTTTGAATTCCACTACATAAATATATTAACTAGAACACTTTGTTTATCTTGTACTTCCATATATATGCATGGACAACATTTTTTAGGTGAATCTTCCGATATGGAAGGCAAGGAGCTGCAAAAAAGCTCTGGGAAGAAATACGTGGCACACACCTGCATACATATGATATTGGAAGAAGTTCTTGTATTTCAAGCAACCCTGGCATATGGCAGCTTCTTACTACAGATCAATCACTGGGCTCTGTGGTGGAGAATGAACCACTCCAAGACAGAGCTACACTACTGCCATGAAGTACACAACATGAGAAGGTGCTTAGCACAGGGACCTTGCATGTTCCCCTGGATCTGTGAATTCAGTCTGCTCCAAACCACAGTTTCAATGCCAAAGCTTTGTAATACGCAACAAGCTTTACATTTTTTGCCATGCCAGCTCCGGAGTTTCAGCAACCGAATCACATCAATAGGAATTTTCTGCCTCATACAACACTATTTTCTCCCTCTTCTAAATCCAGTTCAATTTCAGTGTTAAGTCCTTTCTTTTTTCTATTTTTTGCATAGATCTCCACTGATCACTACAATTTAAATACAAACACAAAAATATATAGACATAAAAATCAAAGTGGCAAAATGTTAGTAACACCAAGATGGCTGATACAATGCTGTAAAATTTAACATTCTGAATGTAACTGGCCAGGTACTCCTAAACAGCCTTTTTTTTTTTCCTAGATCCCTATGCAGCACCATAATATGCACAATATCTACCTTTAATCTGAACTAATAGAGCCACTGTTATGATGAACAGCTTACCTTACTTTTACAGATCCCTCAAAATTAGTTTATGGAACCCTGGAGATCCTTCAAATTTAAAACTGCTTTTAGGAAGTTGCCTAGAAAACTTGCTATTAACACGTACATACTTAAAAGCTGGTGGGAAATGAAAGCCATCCGTCTAGGACAGTTTGACAACAGCTGATAGACTCTGTTTCTAAGATCTTCCATTCCCATAATTTCAGTTGTATTGTTGCCTTAAGAAATGTGATAATAAACTACACCTCTTTCTCTCCCTCAAGGTCTTCAGTTGTGGTTGCTTATTTACAGTTACCTTAGCTAGGAGCTTTCTGCCTGCACCACCTTAGGCTCTTGTACAACCAACACATTCCTAAATAACTGGGGTCTGCTGGGAAACAGCCTAAGACTATCATAGCTGAATTTACACTCAACATCCCATCAGCGTGCCCAGCATACACCTGCTGTCCCACATTAAGTACATGCTTAGGCCAGAAGACATTTATCTCTGGTGAAAAAACAGAACTTTGGGCAGGACAGGTACATTTCCTCTCCAAGTACTGAAAATTAGAATAAGCAGACCATATCAGAGATTGCTAAATTAGATTATCCATCTTTTGCCCTTATAAAATCCTACAGTCTTTCTTTTTAGTAATACTAACTCACCCAATTGCATTTGGCCTGTCTAGAAAACTGTTCACTTTTGCCTGTCCTAAAGTGTAAGGATGTTGAAGGTGAAAAGCCATCACCACAAGGTGTTTCTTACTACTACAAAAACAGGAGCCTCATATTACTAGTCCTCATTCCAGGATATAAATTACACACTCCAAAGTTTAACAATGCTGTCCTGGCTGAAGAAGCTGGCAAGTTTGTCTCCTGAATGAAAAGAAGAATTATTTTTCAATCGGACCTCCAACTTCTAGTTAGAAAAGTGAAAGACACTAAAGATAAGTTAATTTGCTTTTTATTTTAGGCCACTCACTACATTTATTGAAGCATTAGTGCTCATATAAAATGTTTATCATTTTCAAATCATCATGATAGCCAGAGGGATTTGGATGCAATCTTCTACTTGACTGAAAAACATTCTCTAAAACATCAGTAAAAGCCTTTTGAGATCATTTATCCGTTTTCTTGTGATTCCCTGAATTAAGGGAAAGGTGGTTTAAATCCTTATCGTAATTGCTTGTAAGTATATTATTGTCCATCAAGAGCATTTACAGCTTTTTATTATCCTTTTTGTAACCCCACTGTACCAATTGGTGGTGTTTGGATAATTCACTTACATTTGCTTTGGTTAAACATTCACCTCTATATTCAATACAATTACTATGCCCGGTTTCAGGAGGGTTTGCTGCATGTTTTGAAGGTGGGCTTATTTTTAAAGTATTTTATAGGCATATAGTTAGCTTATTATCTACCTGTTTGCATTCTATATAGACTCGACATTGTACAGCTCTTGAGAGATACAGGTTACTTCAAACAAAATTGAGTCTAGTGTATTGTACAAAGAAGTTATCAGCTAGAATGCAAAGAACAGCCACTGAACTTACTCATCTTCTAATGCCTACATGATATTTGACAGCTCTCATTTCAGCCAGTAATACCTGTGCTCAAGCCTGTCAGAATTTATTTTAATAGGACATTAACAGAAGAGAGTAAAATTTGGGAGTAGGATCCAGAAGTAGCGCACAGATAGAGTCTCACCTGTATCCACTTATCTGGAATAGCCATGGCTAGTCGATAATCAAAACCCCCTCCTCCCTCTGCAACAGGACGACAAAGAGCTGGCATTCCAGAAACATCCTTTAAAAAAAACAACCCCACACAACATAATTTGCACAGCATTGCAATTGGTAGTTCAGATTTTCCACCATACAATAATACTTCTATGCAAACACTCTGTAAACTATAAACAGCTTCACGGACCGACCTGTTTAAGGGAGGGGAAAAAAAGGTTATAAACCCCACAACAGTGAGTGATTACTATACACAGATTTGCTGTTTGAATGCAAATGTTAAAGGGAAAAGCATTATGGCTTTCCTCACCAAATACTCTACTACACAGTATTTTAATAAAGTAGGTATTTGAAGGAGAAGAGACCTCAGTAGATGCAGAATTTGAAATAATTAGTTCTCTTGAGCTCCACGTAATCAATAGCAAGCCGAATGTAGTCAACAAAAGACAAATTAAACCTTCATTTTGTTTATTGATATTCTGCATAAAGAATGACATAAAAATAAAAGGATGAATATACAGTTCAGTAAGAAAGAAAAATACAATCTCTCCTGTTTTCCTAACTGCATAAACCCAAACTATTGATCCAGTTAGCCCTGGAGAATGACATGCTCTTACTGCATGATTTTCCAGTTTCACATTGATGGAGGCTGATCATTCTTAAATTTGAAAATAAAAGTTATTATATTAGTTATTTGACTATTGTTTTCATTTAATTATGGCATATAACACCCTTTTTCCGAAGTGGGCTTATCTGTAGAGAAAATGCAGATCTCCAATAATTACAAAATATATATCAGTGCTCAATTTTATTCACTTCTGCCAGGGAGAAGCCATGCTACCACAATGCTTATGGATGAATATAAACCTCTTGTGCCTACACTGGAGGATTTATGGAATTAAATTCTGACTAGAAATAGGGCTTAATTAGGAAGCTCATTCTGGTTTTCTGGATTCAATCCAGTTTTCAACCCAACTGCTGTATTAGACTAGTGAAAAAATGTTTGTGCTTGAAATTAAACATACATATGCATACATGCATATAGACACAGACACCTCATACTGACGTAAGTGAGGAGACTGACCACATCTGCATGAAGCTCATGAATGGCACCTTGGGGACAGGATCCAGAGGGACCCTGACTGGCTGCAGGAATAGATCAACAGCAAGCTCAGGAATTCCAGAGCAAGGGCAATATTCAAATCCTGCCCCTCAGACAAAGGCCTGCACCCATACAGGCTGGGGAACAGCTTTGTGGGGAAGGCCCTGGGGCTCTGAGCTGGCAGCAAGCTGAGCGACAGCCAGCAGCCTGCTCTGGCAGCAGTGATGGCCAGCAGCAGCACTGGCAGGATGAACAGCAAAGCCAGGAGATCAAAGGAGGCTATTATCCCCCTTTACTCAGCAGTCCTTAGATCACACAGAAAACTGCATCCACATTCCACATGCTGTGGATACCAAATAATGAAGCAAAAATTCTTTCCCAACTTTCAGATATTATAAGAGCAAGCTCAGTAGCTCTCCTGAACCAATCAGAAAAGATAAACACAGACTAATGGTGTCCATCTTTCAGGACAAGATGATCTGAAACAAAAGGTCTTCTCTGTGATGCTATGATGTCTACCTGGACAAGGTCTGAGGCTGAGATTTAAGTAGCCCCCCCCTACTTCAGTCATTATTTGAAAGTCAGACTTTTGGGAAGTAAAAATCAAAATTTAGTACTATTTTTACCTAACTACAGATTTTACTTGAGCAATTAAAAAATAATAAATAAATCAGCAGTAGTTTGTTCAGTCTATTTTCCACCAAATGTAAACAGTGAATGTCTAAGCATTTGCTCAGACCTTAGTTTGAAATGCGATGCATATAAAAACAACCCAGAAAGCTCAGCAGTAGGGTTTTTTTGCCTCTTTGTTTTTCCAGTACTTCAGGCATGATGCAGTTTTAACAGTTTTAGTTCTTATTATACAAAACTTTAATCACAGCTTTATTTTGAAGGCCAAAATGAAAAATAAGCATATAGTCAGTAATACCTAAAAACTTAGAAATTAATAAGACAGTGAATATACAGAATATTAACAAGCTGTAAAAAAAAAAATCAGTTAATTAAGGAATATATTATAATTAGTTATGGCTAGACAAAAGCATTCTTCTCATGTGGCACTCATTCAGTCATCATTATAGGCAAGCAGACATCCTTCACTGCCTTTTATAATTTTCAATTATGTCAATAGTTTTCTCCTTCCAAAATTCTCTTTTAACCATGCAGCACATTAATCAATTCTGTACTTCATGCAGCGACTCCCCCAGGCAGAAAATGATGTATTGAAACAGCAGCAGTTTCCAACTCAAGCAAGAGAAACTGAAGTCATATTTTGCTAAAAATGAATTCTTGGCCCAGGTAATACAAGCAGACTGAACTCAGAATTCCATTGGTAGGAACGCTCATAATCTAAAACTACCTAGAAAATGGAACAAATTTCACTTCAAACAAGCCAACAGCTCAACAAAAACATCTCAAGTTTACTAGTGATTGTTCATCAGATGATGTTTTTGCTAGCTTGTCATTAAGCTTTTAGCAGTGATTGTCTATAATATAAAACTTTACCCTAAGTACAAAATTAAGTTAAGGAATATTTTGGTTTCTGAAGATGAACAGGGAACTCAAGCACACAAAAAAATTTTTTTAGACATTCATACAGACCCTAATGACATCAGACAGCTGCAACTTTCCCTTTTAAACAAAAAGGATTAGTTAAACATAGTAACAGAAAAATACTCAAGGTTTACATGGTTTTTCATTTAGATCAAGAAGGTATCAGTGAAAATGCACCTATTCTTAGAACTTCACTGCTCGTTGTTTCATACTATCAAAAATTCCATGTGCCAACAATAATATTTTTCAGTCACAAAAATTTAACTGATATCAATCAACTCGAGTAATTAGTCTATTTACTCCCTCAGAAACCTGGAGAAACTGAATAGTACATTTAAATTAGCGTACACATTCAACATGTATAAATTTACTGCATTTCTTTCAGAGGGAAATTGTCAATTATGCCAATATAATTCCAAATAGGCAAAACCACACTAAGGCTGCTTAGTACTTTAGTACTTAGTATCTTTAGTACCATGAATCACTACTGACAAATGGCAATCAGGCAAAAGCAACAGACAAATAAAAACAAATCTTATTACAAGTTCAAAGAGATAAAAGAAATCCCTACATTAATTAATGATTCATTAATGCAAAGAATATTCCCAAAGTGCATATTCCAGCTGCTTTTCCCCATAAGGCAAAGTCTGTCCACTAATTAAAATTTCTCAGCCTATGTCACTCCTTGAATAGTGACTTGATAATTAACAGGAAATTCACAGCCCAAAGCAATCAATATTAATATGATTGAGGGTGGCAAATTCTGATCTTACCTCTGCTATGGTTATGCATTCTGGATGCAAGAATTTAATCATGTGGTTGGCCAGCATTAGGTAACACAAAGCATCTTCATCCACATGTAGGCCAAAATATTCATTGTAATCTCCACTGAATCCTGTGCCTAATAAAACAGGAAGTTTTAAAGGCTACAGTCACTTAAAAAAAAAAATAGATATTTTGCAATATGCAGTTTTATAAGCACCAGTTTTGTTCATAATTCCAGATCTATCCATACAGCAGCACAACAAGGTATTAGCAAATCTGGAATTTTTGGTGCATTCAGTGAATTTCATAGCACAATTTCCACAGCAACTGAAGTGCAACAGGACTGCTGTGATTAGAGCTGATTAAATTACTTACCAATCCCATGATGGTGATACAACATAGATGTAACACCATCAAACCGGAATCCATCAAAGCGATAGTCTTCAATCCACATTCTCAAATTAGATAGAAGGAATCTCAAAACTTCCCAGCTGAAATAACATGAATATATTTTATAAGCTTGAGAAACCTTGGGATCAACTAGAGTTCCTTATACCATTACCAGGCTCCCCACTTGCACATATGGTAGTACTGGACTAATTGTACTGGACATTTTACCATTTTAATGAATTCCCCATTCTTCATTATCCTTTCCCTAAAAAGTTTACTTAAATCTTTATCTTTTACTGCACTAATTTCAATATTGCAGATAGGGGATTAGGAGAAATTGACAACTATCTATACAGACTAACACGTTAGTGTTTGAACACTTACGCTATATTCTAATACTCACACTTGCCACTCTACTTTTCCTTTGGTTCCCTAAAGATGGTTATACTGTTAGAAAAGACATAGAAATGATAAGAAAAATAAATAGGCAAGTTTTGTCCCCAAGATTTTATGGATTTACAGCTCTTTCTTGGCATAACAGAAGTTAAAAAGCTGTTGTCCCCCACTGCCTCCCCCCGTTATTTACAAATCACACATCCACAGTAATTTATCAAATCTCCTACTGTGTTGCAAATTTACACATTTAAGGAGGAAACCAACTTATGGAAATTGAGGAGTTTGAAATAACAGGAATAGGATATAATGCACACACAAACGAAGCGCAGACATGAAATCAAAACTACAAAAGAGGTTCCAAAGTGAGTAAGCATATGAAGGCATTTATGAACAAAATTTGTATTTAAGAACAAAACACTTTCAGGAACAGTTTTCTAACTATCCATCAATTCCTCTCCAAGGATATTGGTCTCGGGAGCTTCAAAAGACACCCACATCTTGTTTCTACTGTTCATTCCTCTGCACCACTACCCTCAGAACAGGCTGCCTCAGGTGCATCTCCTGCAAGCTCTGACTCCAAAGAGCTCACCCATCTCAATCAGAGGTAGTGAAGCTTTTTTTGCCCATGTCATCTTCGACACCGGCCAATATTATTTCTCTCTGATCAACTTCCCAAGATAACACAAAACAACCCCACTTACTCCCAAGTTTTTGTTCAGAGAGGAATTCAAGTGATGCAGCTGCATGCAAGGTCTCGCCAATCACTCTCTGGTGGGGCAGACAGAAGGGGTACACCTAGCACAAAGCACATTGGTCAGCATCACTCACAATTTACCTATGCATGTAGTTGGCATAAGGCAGTGAAGGAGACCCTCTCTATGTTTCACCTTAACAGATGCTGGAGACAGCAGACTCATGAGTCAACTATGACACAAGGAATAAACTCATTTTGACAAAAAATAAAATAAAAGTCTCTGCCTTACTTCCTTCCTCCAAAAATACTTTCTTATGAGGGATGCTTTATCACATGAAAAGATGGGATGCTTTGGACATACTATAAAGCTGATAAATCCTGATCTCACCAAATAGCCAATTCTTCTTTACTCCAACAGGATTATAGTATTTCTCCTTTTCTTTGCATGTATTGCACACAGACATCCATGTGTGCATATAAAGACAGAAATATTACCAAATCAAAACCTCCAAATTTAGGAAATGCAATTCAGTTCAATGTGAATTGCCTCCATTCAATGCCTTTTCTGGGCATGCATTACTTGCCAAGATTTTTTTGTTCCATCCCCATGTTTCCCCACCTCGCCCCAAATCACCCAGTTTACAAGACAACACTATACTAGCAAGATCCCAGAAGCTTGTCCACAGAGCCTTTTATATATTTATGATTTCTCAGCTGAAATGATTTGCAATGAGAATCCTCTGATATTGAAAGGAACAGAAAGGTATGAGAGGTCCTATGAACTGGCAAGCTGGTCGCAAAAACATGACTTTGTGAAAACACTCACTGGATCTCTTTCTGACCCATCATCAAAGTTTCAGGAAACTATTTGCTGCAAGCTAAACACTGTGATTGAAGTCAAAACAGCAGCTGTACTGCAATAGAACTACAGTCTCACACAATTAAGACAATGCACATACAAAGTGTAGATTAATTGCTACAAGCCCCAGCCAGATTTAAAAGATATTTCTCCTCATTACAGGTTACTTGACATCCTAACCTTAAAGTTCTTAAGACGGTGAAGAGGATTTATGCACTTGTAAAACACACATAGGAGTCTCAAAATAGGTAACAAATGTTATTTTTTCCACCATTGTTGGCACTGAAGACTGGTCTTTGGAAAAGATGGAGGACCAGCATGAAAATAAATTGTAATGAGTTTTACACAAAAAAGCGAGGATGGTGACGAACAAACAAGATGAATTTGTTGAACGAAAAGATTAGTTAGCAAATTGATGAGATCAAAAACCTGAGTAGGAGCAGCAGATGTTTTCCAACCATCTGATTGCACATGGGAGAGAAGATTGTAAATAAATCAATAAACAAACATATTAATTCTGATTCTAGTCTAAACTTGGTAAAATTCAGGTTTAGGATAATTTCTAGGAAGGATGTCAACTAGCAAATACACTGACTTTTACAGACAGAACTCCACAGTTCTGACACACAAGCCAGAAAAACTGTTGTTTTGAAACATGCAAATCACACAAACCTTACAGAGGTTCATGATTTCATCCAACCCAATTTGTTTACAGAAGCAGCAGCATTAGAAATAGAAGCTGACAGAAGCAACAAACAACTTTGCAGCACGCCAGTAGAGGCCAAAATCACAGCGTAATTGAAATACATCCACCCCAGGAGCAATAATTCAGAAACATTTCTAAAAGAAGTATATTCTCATAATTTTACAGACAGACATGGAAACAGGATAGCATTCATTAAGAAAGTAATTTCTTTTGGGCAAAAGCCATATCTTAAATTATATCCTAACATTCTCTCACATTTTTGCATAACATAAAATTGAGAAAGTTCTTTCACTGCATGAATGATCTAAGAGAGGAAAAATATATGCTGTATTATCATTAAGGAACAGAGAGACTTACACTGTAAGAATTTTAAGTAAATCAGAATTCACTCAGACGTTGTTCAAAACAAGAGGTCTTTGCACAGAAGTCTTGCTGTTATTTCTCCCCTTTGGGGCCAACTTCCCCCCTTGGGGCTTTCACATTAAGAAAAGACTTCTCGTTTGAAGAAGTAAAATGAGCATTTCTAGCTAGATGAGCTGGTTTCACAAAATGATGAGAAATTTAACAACTTTTACTAGGTCAGCAGAAACTCTGTGAATTGCTTCTAACACTCATTATTTGCTTTTTTCCCCTCCTATACTAATAAAAAAAGCAAAATAATAATTTACTGTAAGAATTCTAAAATCCAATCCATGTTGAATACAAAATACTTAAATGTGAGCAAGTAATGCATTTAAATCAGTTACTTTTGTCACTATGGGCTAAATAATAATATTGGCTGTACCTAAAGCAGTTTGAAGCTGCAATTCTTGAACCATATCAATGTTGATCATAAGGAACTGCATTTATTATTATGTATTATAGTAAATGAGTGGAACTGCTGACCTTGTCTATGATGATTTACCCGTTTTCAATTCTGAGTGTTTAACTTCACACATAGTAGCAGCACTGAATTGCTAAGATGTAATATTTCACATTATCCCCAGACATTTCAACATCTGACTTAAATGCCACCAATGGACTGTTGAACATAAAGCTATCAGATTGAGCACGAGTTTCTTTAACTTCCAGTGAATCTGGTACAAGTTATTTTATGAACTTAGCATCCATACCTAACACAGAGATGGTTTTGTTTGCTTCTTTCACTGCTGTTAACCACCATAGACCAGTTTGCCTATTATTTAGATGCACTCTGAACAGAGTGATACAAAACGGTAATCAGTCTTACCCCTGTTTGGAAAATAACAAAAAGAATAAACTCTCTGTATTGCAACCTCCTTTACTTACACAGAGAAGTAGTTCCTCTCTTCTTCTAGGTAATATCATTGCCAAGGCCCAAAGCCACCTCTAGTAATAAGGGACTGAAAAGTCAAAGCAGTGCAGTAGGTTCCCACTTTTTAACCAAGGGACAATCCTGAATGAGATTGCTAGATTGCCCTCGATACCTACACTCCTAATTACACCAAATGCCATTCTATGGGAACATACACATCTCTATCAGTCAACAGAAAGTCAAGACAGTCATTAAGAGACCAAAAGAGCTTTTGCTTAGTGATCCAAGCTGCATCATGCCTGCAAAATGAACTTTACAGGCAACAAACAAAAAAAGAGCTATCCTTCTGGGGCATATGATAATCTATGAGCAGAAGAGATCTGCAGCAAATTCTCTTGTATCAATCCCAAGAAAAGACAGAAGCAGTGAATCAACCTTTTGTCTCTGCATCGATGTAGAGTGCTACTTTTTCTGGACCTAGCATTTTGGAATGTGCACTGCATGAATGCATCTTATAGAGCCAGAAAAGAAACAATCTGTCCAATTTCCGCAATATCAATGTTAATATTTGGACACAAAATACATTTAAAGGAAAAAGTTTATTCTGAAAACAAGTTATACTCATTAGTAGATATCAGTAAATGAGGAGGAGGCTAAAGCTTTCAGTTTAGCATGCACCGAATATTTAACATTATAAGCAAACAGAAGATTACTGACAAATTCCTGAGGACAGAGTCCTCTCCAGCTTCCAGCTGCAGGAGAATTTAGCTGGTAAAAGTTTTCAGAATGGCTGCAACATTATTGCAGTGTTCTTGAATTTTTCTTCACAGCACCAAAGTATTTTGGATATAATTAAAATAAATTAATATGATTTAAATTGATTTTTTTTTTTTTTACACCCCCACTATAAACAACTGACCCAAAAGACAACCCACTGGTCACAATCCCTTTTGTTAAGCAGTTCAAACCACTGCACTGTAAAGGTGATCTGGGGGAGGTGATCTGGAGAGAACTTCCAGGCTAGATGAGTAAGTTTTAAGACCTCTTGCTCTGCATCACAATCTGGTACATGAATAAGGCTTGAAATTAACACTGGCAATAGCAGTATATCTTTACAGACAAATCTTGGAAAGATGTTATTCATAACTACATTTTCTTGGGTGAGCTAATGGG